ATTATTGTAAATCACACACACACACACACACACACACACACACACACACACACACATTAATTTTGCTACACATAAATTCCAACACAACCTGAAAAACTAAAATGAAAATATAGGAGGAAGGGTTAACAGTATTTGCAATTACCTAGACGCTGTAAGGAGGAAGGTTAGCTTTGAGGATACAAAAGATGGTGAGGAGAACTTCATTGGACATCAGCACCTTTGTGATTCAGTCTTTTTGGAATCTATATACCGGTAAATAGTTCCACATCTTTTGTAGTAGGTAATAAAATCAAGTGGCTGTCCTTATGTAACTATGAAAAGTCCAGTTCTGTTGTAAGCAAGTCATGCCAGTGACTTAAGAGACAGTGAGAAAACAAAGAGCTTTAACTGACAGCAAGCCAGCATGTGGAAGATGGTCTCTCACCCAGATTCCAAGAGTCTGTGTGGGGTTTCTGGGCTACCGACCTAATTTTAGCATAACCAGATGGGGTACGTGGCTAGTTCTTACAGTAGAGAGTTCTCTCGATGAGGTTTCAATGCTGTCCACAGGTCACCAGGCATTTCTGAAAACCTAGACAAAGGGCTTGTACAACTATGGTGTTTCTCTTCTTTTTTTCAGGTACTTTATTAATTAGTTGAGGCACAGAAAAGTGAGACAAAATCAAAAAGATAAAAGATGTGCTAGTGATAGAGGCAAGTCTGTTACTGTATGTGCTTCTTGTAGGAGACGCATTGCACTCAATTGCATTCAAGAAGATCTATTCCATCTTTCTCTGTCAAACTTCTCCAGTGTGTTCTAATAGGGCGGGTTCTCAAAACTCCAGACTTCACTGTGCCCAGCCCTTGCTTTTAACTCTGCACCAATCATTACTCCAAATCTCTAAAAGGTTAATAAAATGGTTTTGCCCAAAGTATTGCACCACACTAATCACAGTAATTTTAAGCAGAATATACAAGATAACGTGTATATATTGGTTGATACTTGAGGCCCCACGAATAACTTTGAAGGATGTCAGAATCCAGAAACCACTGTATCAAAATTTATTCAATTATTTTTCTATTGCCATGATTTTTTCTTTTATGATTTTTAAATTCATTTTTATAGGCTAATTAAAAGGGGACAACTGGTTCAAAGAATACTGAAAATTATGTACATTTTAAACTGTAATAAATGTGGCTAGATTGCTTGACAAAAGATTTAGGTCGTCACCACCCAACAATCCCATGTGAATGTTTCCAGTATCTGTGCTCATAGCTGCTCATTTGGATTTTTGGCCATCTGGTGGGTGGAAAAATTATTTTATTTCTTTGGAGACAGTGTCTCAGTATTTACCTCAGGCCTGGAACTCAATTTTTCTTAAGATTCCTGAGTGCTTACACCACAATTTTTTTCAATAAGTGAGGTTCATGTTTGCCAGTATAAACTGCCTATTCATCATACTTGTTGGTTAATTGCATTGGAATTATATTTATTTCTAGGATTAGACTGAATAGAATTGCATCTATGCTTCAAAATCTACTTCTCTAGCTTCTCATTTGGTTAAAGTATTTTTTGCCAATAAAATGCATAAATTTCTATATAATTTTAGTGCTTCAAATATTGATGTTGTGTCTATTCCCACACTGCATTCCCCTAAAACTTATATCGTCTAAGATTTTTTTCCTGCACTGTTAAGATTCAGCTACTTTATTTAAGAAGGCAATCCCAAGAATTCAGAGGTCAGGCACACAAAAAACTAGAACAAACACCAAACTGAAAGTGGCGAGGGTGCGACGAATGTTTGATGCCACTGCACGTGAGTTTAAGACTAATGCCCTAGGAGCACCGACAGTTCGAGGCCAACCTGGTCTACATAGGGAGTTCTAGGCCAGCTGGGGCTACAGGGAGTTTTATAAAAAACAAAAAAAAAAAAAAAAAAAAAAGAGGAGTCGCGGGGCCTTGTGACCGGCAGCCTAGCACTCTGTCTCTGGTCCTTGGGGGTCGTCGGGATGATGACGTGTTTTCCCATCGGTGAACGTTGGATCCGGAGCGTCTCCGAGCTTCCGCTGCTGGCACAGAAGGCAGCCACCAAAAGCCGCCCAAATGTCACAGGCCAAACATCCTAGGGGGAAACTGAACACTCAGGTCACGAGCGGGACCGTCCTGCGCATGCGGCCCACGTGAGGCACCTGCGTAAGCCGCCCCGCCTCCTCCCCGGTCTGCTACGTGACCGCAGAACCGCGCAGAACAGCGGGTCCCGCGCATGTCCGTAGGCGGTGCTGGGCGCAGGGGCAGCTGGGAAGATGGCGGCGGCCTGGGTACCTTGGCGGTGGGGCTGGGGGGCCGTGTCCTCCCGCCCGCTTCGAGGCCTTAGTGCATCACTTGCTCGCAAAGCCCCGCGAGCCTGCTGGCTTCCAGGTTAGTGGACCGAGGCCGTACGCTCGGTGCCGGTGCACAGTGGCCTTGGAGCTCCATTCAAAAGTGCTCTTGGCCTCCCCAGCCTACAGGGCTGGGTGCTCGGAACTGTTCTGGTCACGGCTGTGAGACGACTTCTGCAGCCGTAGGGCATCTTTGGAACCCAGGATCCTGTAAGGCCAACACCAGAAAAAGCCCTTAATATGTGCATTTAATGCATTTTATTTAATGCATGCGTTACTGTTCAATACTTAGACCCGCCCTTCGTTGACCAAGGAAACTTCCAATGTTGGGCATAGGCTTTGTGCATGTAGATGCCCTCCATAAATCTAATTTGTGATGTTTCACTTGAAAGAACTTTAATCTACAAAGGAAGCTAGAACTTGGACCAAAAATATTACATATAATTTCTTTGTGTATAGTTATCTTTGAGTAAGATCCTTGTGTTTTTCACATCTTGCCTCAGAGCTGTTAGATGATGATACGGTCCTTGAAATAGTAATATCGCTATAGAAACCTTTTGTTTCCTGTTAAAATTTTAAAAAATTATATAAGCAGCTTAACCTATACTGCGCACAAAAACACACATGCATTATATATAAGTATTTGTAGCAAAGTTCATTAACAAGAGAAAAATATTCTTTTGTCTGTTTAGTAGTATTCATTGGTCGCATATGCATCAGACTTTAAGCTAATCCTTATATATAAAGATGATCTGTAGATTCAGTACTGAATTTGTTCATTTATAGCCTACAAACATTAAATAAATGGTAAGTTTATATTAAAAAATGGGAAGTTCATAGAAGGCAATGTCTGAAAGAATAGAAGTTTTGAATGCTTAATTCACTAAGAAAATGGTAAATGGGCATTGTTGTGGATAAAATCTGACCAACATAACTGATCTCTACTAGGCCAATTTTTCACCAAGTTTTAAACTTGATATGTTTTTTTTCTTACACAGAAACTTTGAATCAGGTTTACATATAAAAGGAATGAATAGCTTTAAAGCCCCGCCCCTACCCCGGGGCCAGGGTTGTTGCTTTTTTTTTTTTCTTTTTTTTTAAGAAGGTATGTACCTCTGTCTGGCTTAAAACTCATTGTATGAACCAAGTTGGTGTGGTACTTGTGCTCCTCCTGCCTCTGCCTCTCGAGTGTTGTGGCTGTAGAAGTGGACCTTAATGCAAAGCTCTCAATTCTTTTTTTTTTTTTTTTTTTTTTTTTTTAAAAAAAAACAGTGTTTCCTGATAGACCCAGCTGGCCTGGAACTCACTATGTAGACTGTTAAGGTTCAGATAGCCCTGCCCCCTCACCAACAGGATCCCGAGGACTTCTCATGCTCTTGAGAAAAGGGAACCTAGCTGATAAGCACCTTGTCTCATTCTTGTTATATTGTAACAACCATACACAGACCTTCATCACCTGCACAGCTCTCTCATTTCTCTGTCAATTCTGGAAATATCCAGCCATCATAATCTTCATACATAAATCCTTCTTTAAAAATATCTCCATTCTCATATCCTTCCAACATCCTCCACTTTTCCATTTTCTTTTTTTAATAACTATGAGACAATAACATTAGTAAACAAATTTTTTATCTGTTGTGAGGCTTCTTTTCCTGGGGATTACTAAGCAGTGTTTTTCCCCTTTTTAGGTTGTAGTATCAAACCAATGTTTGATTACATTATAGTTTTTCTGGGGAAGCAGTGAATTTACTGAGCTTACAAAGATGACTGAGGGGTTGCTAAGGTATATGAGTGACCTGAGAGTGTTTACATTGGAAAGCCTTAACCCAGCATGGAGCAAGCCTTCCTAGCCTTTTTTAGATAATATACTTTAGTCTTTTCCAAGTCCAGGAGACCATGTAATTAGAGTCATATTACATACAGTTGGCTGGGAAGAGCAGCTAGGTACTCAGGTGAGGGTCCAAAGGTGCTTATCAGTTAGGTTCCCTTTTCTCAGGAGCATGAGAAGTCCTTGGGATCCTGTTGGTGAGGGGGCAGGGCTATCTGAACCTTAACATAGACCAGGCTGGCCTTGATCTCACGGTGATCTGCCTGCCTCTGCCTCCCAAGTGCTGGGACTACAGTCATGTGCCACCATACCCAGCCATAAACTGAACAAATCCAAATTGGGAGAATTTTAGCCACACATGTGGAAGAGGCCCAGAAGCTCTCACTGGCCATAAGAAAGTGAAGGCAGATGTTAACATTTATTTGTTTTAAAAAGAAGGCTGATAAGATAGCACAGTAGGTGAAAGTACTTGCTGCCATGTCTGACACTCTGAATTTCATCTCCTGGACCCACATGGTAGAGGGAGAGAACCATGTCCCTTGACTTCTACATGTGTTCCATGGCATGCACACATACACTAAATAAATGTATGTATGTATGTATGTATATATGTATGTACCTACCTTAAACCTTAAAATAAATGGGAGAGAGAGAGGCTGGTTGGTTAATCAGAAAAAGACAAGTATACAAACCTGCCTTTGGGAAATGAAAGTGGGATTTGCTTTTTAAAATAGTTTTATGATCGTGCTTTTGGGGGGTTATTGCTTTGTTTCGTGTTTTTGAGGCAGGGTTTCTAGCCCCAGCTGACCTGGAACTTGCTGTGTAGACCAGGCTGGCCTCAATCTCACAGAGATCTGCCTGCCTTTTATAATGGGGGGAAATTTTTTAAAACAGTAGAATGGAGGTTGAAGAGTGATTAAGAGCACTGGCTGTTCTTGCAGAGGACCTAGGTTTGATTACCAGCACCCACATGGCAGTTAACAGCTGTCCTCACCTCCAGTTCCAGGGACTCTTAACACTGTTTTCTGCCCTCTGTGGGCATTGTATGTCATAGGTACATTTACATATATGCAGGCAAAACACTCATACACATAAAATTTTTAAAAAATTGTTTTTAAAGTTTTAAAAACCAGTGAAATGGAGTGATCTTGTAAGGTTTACCATTTGTCTTGCTGTATATAAATTTCTAAGATCTGTTGTGAACCACTCAGAAAAAAACCAAGCCAACACAAGTAAAACAGTGATTGCAAAGTTGTATGAGAAATCTTTTTCAAAAATATTTTATTCAAGATTATTTTTTAAAGGAACTCTTACTGAAACCTCAGTTAATATAAAATGGTGGTGGTCTGTTACCATTCCCTTGATTTTCATGGATAGGGTAGCTAAAAAGTGATTCAGCACTTCCAGAGTTGTTTTTCTTTCATTCAAATTACTTTTCAAAGTCACGATTCTCCTACTTCTGGTTTCCCAAGTCCTGGGATTATAGGTGTATAGGTGTGTACAACTTTCCCAGTTCCCACTTTGAAATTAAGTTTCTAAATCTAAAGACAAAGGAAAAAAAAAAACACCACAAAACCTCTTTTCCCATTCATCTGCCCCAAAGTAGAAGACCTGAAACATTAAAAAGCAAAACGTGGGTCAGGTGTAGTGGCGCACGCCTTTAATTCCAGGAGAGGCAGGCGGCTCTCTGTGAGATCAAGGCCAGCCTGGCCCACATAGTGAGTTCGAGGCTAGTTGGGGTTACAGGGAGACCCTGTCTCAAAGAGGAAACAACAACAGCACCAACAACTCTCATGAGAAGACTAAAAATGGTGTATTAAATCCAAATGTTAATTGTTGCTGTTTAGGCTAATTATTTGACACCAACTTGAAGATGATTTTTGATGATTCTGTCTTTTGTTTCATTGAAATTTTATACCTCATTGTGTATTTTGGAAGAGTATAATCCTACCTTGCTCTAGTTTGAAGTTAAATGGTTTTGACACAATTTCATACTTAAGACTAGTTTAATTCAAGTACTTGGAGTCTGTTTTTGTTTTCCTGTGAGATGCGGATAACTTTCTAACATCAATGAGTTAAGAAAGTTAAGATTAAAAATATGTGATTTTCTAAGTCATTTGTAAACTATAATTCATGCTTTATATATTTTGTTTAGCTTGCAGACAAAAGACATCACTTTCTTTCCTTAATCGACCAGACCTTCCAAGCCTGGCTTATAAGAAGCTAAAAGGCAAAAGTCCAGGAATAATCTTCATCCCTGGCTATCTTTCTCATATGAATGGTACAAAAGCACTGGCGGTTGAGGAATTTTGCAAATCTCTAGGTCACAGCTATATAAGGTAGGAAAGTACCTTTTAGAGAGTGTATTACCACTTAGCATTGTAGTAGAGAATTGTTTCTGCTTTAATCAGTTGAGTAAATGCCAATCATTTTTACTGATGAATTTGTTGTAATAGTTTGCAAAGTTTCATCTTATGCTTTAGGGTCATTGTAAACATAACCTTCTAAAAGACCATTTTCAAAGGTCTTCATGCCACATTGGCAAGATTGGCAGAAGATGTCATAAGGGAGCTAGTAATGAAGTTCTTTATATACAGTAATCTATATGGCAAAAACAAATATACTACTTGTGTTTCTAACAGTCTCTTGTGATTGTGGTTTATCCACTGAAAATGTGTAGGACTTAATTGACCATGCTTACTTTCTAAAGTGAGTTTTTAGGGCTGAGGGTGTAGTTCAGGGGCAGAACGTGTAGACTTGGTATTGTATAATTCACATTGTTTACATCTGTAATCTAAATGTGCATGAGCATAAATAAGGATAGGTGGTATTCAATCAACTTTTAATTTATAATTCCTACTTTTTCATACAATTATTTGATTAAAATAACTTGTTCACTTTGCTGTTAGATTTATGTATAACATTTATTTAGCATTTAAATTTATCAGAAGGGAGTATGGTTTAATTGAATAAGCATTGGCCTAGAGTTTCAGAATTGAGGACTGAAGGATTGATTCTTTCAGTGACTGATGAAACAAGTCAGTTAATAAACACTAGATATAATTTTGTCATCTGTATTAGTTTGCTTTCTGTTGCTGTGATGAAATACCATGACCAATAACAACTTGTTGGGGAAAGGGTTTATTTCAGCTTACAACTCCCAGGTCACAGTACATCACTGAGGGAAGTCAGGGCAGGAACGCAAGGCAGGAACCTTGAACTGAAACAGAGACCATGGAGGAACACTGCTTACTGGCTTACTCAGCTGCTCCTCTTATACAGCCCAGGCTCAACCTGTCAGGGATGGCACTGGCCATGATGAGCTCCCCCTCCCCGCATCAACCAACAATCAATACAGTGCCCCATAGATATGCCTACAGGCCAGTTTGAAGGAGGAAGTTCCTCAACTGAGGTTCCCTCCTCTGAGATGTCTGTAGTTTGTATCAGCTTGACAAAACTAACCAACATAACATCCAGTAAAAGGAGGCTGAACTAAAGATGATTTCTGACTTCTTTTCTAGCACTAACAGCCTAAAAATCTATTCATCTAAATTTTAAAAAGAGTGGATTTAGTAGCTCTAAAAATACTGAAAACACATATTCAGTAGTTCTAGGAAATATAGCTGAATATTAAACTTGTAGTAATTATCCATTCAATAAATAGATTAGACATTATGTCAGATGGATTTTGTCTAATTGCTTTCTATGACATTAGCTAAATTTCCTTTTCATGCTCAGAACTGTCTTAATAATCTCTTCTGACTTAAGACTGGAGCTGAATAATATACTGAAATTTATAAAACATTGCACTTCCCTTAGATCTTTAAGTCAAGGGGTGAAGGAATATCCAAGTTATTAGGCAGAATTCTCGTCAGAGTATGATGTATGTCAAAAGAGAAGGTTATATAATGTTGAGAGAAAAACTGAGGCAAGAAATAGATGGAAAAGACTTTCTAAACGAAGTCAGAATATTAGTTAAGATTTCGATAGAAGGGCAGTGCTATTCAAGCAAGCACACCACTCTAAGTAGAATACCGTAATAGCAGAAACATTGCTGTCACCCTTTTTTTTGCCCCCAAAATAATTAGAATTAAGAAACTGCCATTTTAGGGCTGGCAAGATAACTCAGTGGGCAGTGCTTTGCAAGCATGAAGATGAGAGTTCAGATCCTCAAGCCCACATAAAAGCTGAGTGGGTTTGGCAACCTTCCTGTAATCCTAGCATTCAGGAAGGTAGAAACTGGGAATCCCCTGAGCAAGCTGTCTAGGCAGACCAGACCAGGAACTCTGGGTTCAGCAAGAGACCCTGCCTCTGTATGTAAGGTGGATACTTGAAGTCAGCCTTGTCAGTATATGTGATGTCATGCACATATACATGTGTGCCACTCACATGTGCCCATAGACATGAGAACACACATGCACACACCATACACACATTTTAGAAAAAAGAAATCACCATTTTACTGGTTCTTGAGACTGTGAGAGCTGTAACTAGTACCTGTCTCCCTGTGAGACAGAATGTAGTTTTCATAAGCCATTGCTCTTTGATTATAATTTTTTAATTTCTTTTTGGAGGAGCATTGAAATAGTTGTGAGAATGGCAGCCTTCCAAGTTCTGTGTGTGTGTGTGTTTACATGTTACATGTTCATGTGGGTCTGTGAGCATGCATATTGTATGGAGGCCAGGAGATAACCTTGGGTGCCATTCCTTAGGAGTTGTCCACCTTGCTTTTTGAAACAGGGTCTCTCATTGGTTTGGAGCTTGTCAGCTACACTGGCAGGCCTGGGACCCCAGGGTCCACTCTCTTCACCTCCCCAGCATGGGGTGAATAAAAGTACTGAATGAGGAAAATTCACCAAAGGAAGTGACATGACTTAAAGGACTAGCAGTTTAGGCAAAGAAGGCAGTGGAATAGCATGCAAAACTCATGGTTATAAAGGGCTTATCTAGGAATTAGAAGTAATTCAGAATGCTTAAGGATTTTGGTAATCCATGGACATGATATGATACTTTATAATTTATTGAATTGGGACCTTGTAGGAAAAAATTCACAGGTCAGACAACTTTGAGCTCAGATACCTAGGAAATTAGAATGGCAACTAGGAAAATTCATGATGAATTTGATTGTGGTCCTAATGAGTAAATGAATAGTCAGAACCAGCTTTCCTAGAGATGTGCTATTTGAGCAAAAGACTGAATGAGATGAGGGAGCAATCTAATGGCTATCTGGAGATAAAATATGCCAGGTGGAAGGTTTTCCTGTCTAATGACTGGGATGTTCGTGATTCAGGAATGTGGATGCTGCATACTTTTAACTTTGAAAATGGAAGTGAAAACACATGTGGGAGGGAGAGGGAACACTAATAAGATCAAGGGGGTGGTGAGGGCCAAAGGATGGTAAGCACTCTGGATTTTATTCAGTATTGTGGAAAGCATGGCCCTTTATCATTCTGACTGCCATGTGCACATAGACTGTGAGAATGAAAAATAGAAATGAAGAGACTACTGACTGCATTGGTCTAGTTGAGATAATAACTTGGTCTATGCTGGTAGCAGTGTAGCCAGTAAGAAAGTGATGGGGCTGGAGACATGGCTCAGTGGTTAAGAACACTGGTTGTTCTTGCAGAAGACCCGGGTTCAAATCCCAGCACCCACACGGCAGCTAACAACTGTCTGTAACTCCAGTTCCGGAGGATCCGACGGCCTCTTCTTTTCTCCATGGGCATTGCACGACATGGGTGCACTTACCTACATGCAGGCAATACACATACACACATTAAAAAAAAAAAAAAAAAGTGATTGACATGGACTGGGATGTTTTATTATAGTTTAGCCATGTAGTAATGAAAAATGTACTTACTGTCTTAAGATTAGCAAACACAGATGTGCACCTATATACAAACATTTAAATGTAAATATATTCTCTTCCAGGTTTGATTACTCAGGAGTTGGGGATTCAGATGGTAACTTAAAAGAATGCACAGTGGGGAAATGGAGAAAAGATGTACTTTCTGTAATTGATGACATAGCTGAAGGACCACAGGTAACTTTTTTGTTAAGTAGAATGATTATTAACTCAAGAAATACTTAATTTGTATCTTAAGGTATGAACATTTTTTAGTACTTCAAATGTCGGTTTTGGTTAATCTTGATTTTGATAATTTTTATTTAAAATTGTTCTGTTTTTACTTTCTAATAAACAGTAAATAGCAATTTATGTCTCATTGTAAAAATTTTGTTTTTAGAATTCTGTATTATAAGCTTAATGGTTTTGTGAAATACTATTATAATTGAATTTTACTTTGTGCTAAATACTCAAAGTCTCTATATAAATTCTATAGATTTCTATTAAACCATCCCCTTTATCGAGGAAGAGATCCCCTTTGAAGCCTTCCTATTTGTTTCTAGATACTGGTTGGCTCTAGCCTTGGTGGATGGCTTATGCTTCATGCTGCAGTTGCACGGCCACAAAAGGTCGTGGCTCTTGTTGGTGTAGCGACTGCTGCAGATGGCCTGGTGACTCAGTTTCATGCACTTCCTGTTGAGGTAAGTCACACCTGCTTTAGCAGTGCCAGTGTGTACCTTGTAACGTTCTTCTGCCTTCTGTCTTTGAATATTTGTTTATATGCCATCTGTCCTTTGACTTACATTGTGATACTGTGACCCATCTTTTGGCTTAGCTACCTTTTGCACACAGTCTCTTGACTGCATTTTCACTCAGGAATCTTGTTTTAAGGTTTCCTTTATTCATACTTCCTTTTAATCATCCTGCCAAATATGTGAGCCACATTAATGAAATCATGCTTTGCAATTATTTTTTTAATTTAATTTAATTTAATTTTAGTCTTTTTGAGACAGATTCTTCCTGTAGGCCCAGCAGGCCTAGAACTCAGCATGTAGGCCAGGCTGGCCTTGATCTCACAGAGGTCCACTTGTCTCTGCCTCAGGAGTGCTGGGATTAAAGATGTGTGCTACCATGGCCAGTCTGCAGTTTCTTTTTTAGCAAGATTCTCTTTATTACATTTATTTAATGTACTCACGGGTCAGTGTCTTGTTACTCTCATCTGTGGCACCTGGGTAGTAGTACCTATTCTGACGATCATGTGAGGCGGGATGAATCAGTTGTCAAAACTACTGTTTTTAGATTGAAAAAAGCCTCAGCCAATAGTTCCCAGTCAATCAGAGTTTGCACACAAGAGGAAAAGCTTGTTTTTTCTGGCTTACTTATTTGATAAACTTTTAAAAAAGGAAAACAGCGCCTTAATGTTCCTGATAAAAATGAGGTTTCTGAAGTGCCTGGGAAGATAGCTATTCTCTGAAGCTCTGATTAGCTGTATGCTTAGGCACTTTTGTTATCTACATGAATAATGGAATGAGTAATATCTAATGTTTATTTTTGTGTAGTTTTGCTTGTTTAATTGCAGTCAGTTGAGTTCTCCTCACCTGAGGTTGTGCACATGCATGAACACACGTGCACCTGCACACCATGTGCACAAACACACAGAGAAAAAGAAAGAAGCAGCACTGTCTGCATGGTCCTCATATTGTTCTTCATCAGAGCTAAACTTCGAAAGTTGGTTGCCCTGTACTCATCTCCGATTTCTGAATTTTTTAAATTTCTTTTTCTCTTATATGATTGTTCAGTGCTTGTGCTTTCCTTACTATTCCTTTTTGTGAATCTAAAACTTTGATCCTTTGCTTCATCCTCTTGACTCAGTGCTTCTCGTGATGGGGAATTTGTTCAAGGATATTGCAAATTGAAAAGGAATTGATTAAACCCTTTTTTGTCCAATTGGCAAAATCTATACACATTTCTTTTTGCATGTTTGCGTTTAGATCACTCAGCATGAAGATAAGATAGATACTTAAAAGCAGATACAAGTAAAGAGCAGGGGCACTGGGACCACTGTCTCTTCTCCATACAAACCCCCAGCCCTAAGATAACAAGGGAGGAGAAGTGGAGAACTTTGCCAACTTCCCAAGGCTTCTGGAAATTGTGCCCAGCACTTCTCATTGTTTACCTAGGAAGAACTGACTGTCTTCTTTCTCTACTAGAAGGACTCAGATGCGATGCACAGACATTTGGAAACTATAAACTGCTAAAAACCATATTGCCTTGGTAAAATTTCTTACATATATGGTACAGTTTTTTTTTCCCTATTGCTGAACTTTTGTTTTTGAGAGCATGAGACATAAAAACATATAGTTAACTTTGTTCTTCAAATGGGCTGTTTTCCTGCAATTCATTAGCAGGTAACAGGAAGATGTCAGGAATGCTTCAAATGAAACTTAACTAATTCAGTGTGTTCATACTTAACATAGATGGAATTAAGTATTAATTACTGAAATTCAGCATAGCTTGAGGATAAATGAATATTGCTTTTGCTTTAAAAACTTGGTTCACAGGGCTGGAGAGGTGGCTTGACAGTTAAGAGCACTGGCTGCTCTTGCAGAGGACCCAGGTTAAGTTCCCAGCACCCACATGATGGCTAACAACCATCTGTAACTCCACTTCCAGGGGACCCAATGCCCTCTTGTGACCTCCATGGGCATTGTACAACATGGGTGCACTTACATACATACATGCATATATATACATATAAAATGAAATTTAAAACATAATATTTTTTAAAAATTTGGTTCATATGCTTAGTGGAGAACTCCATATTAATATGGATTCATACATTTTGCAGATTTCCAGAATTTCATTAATTTCTAATTATTTGGAAATAAGTATTTAGATGCATTTAAAATCTTTTTATGGAAGTTTAAGGAAATAGAAAATATATGTATTAAATAAATAAAAGCATAGAAAGTTGTATGTAAATATATAATTGATAGCTGTATATGTTTCATAAAAATAAGACACATGTACAAGTATTTGAAGAAAATAATTTAGAAAAATAATATTATAGCTGTAAAATAGGGTATTAGTGATTTCTAACATACTTTTATGTATTTGGTGTAGAAAAATTCCAAATTAAAAAAGTACTAATTTTTAAAACATTTTGTATTGTGTGTGTGGGTATGTGCCTATGAGTACAGGTGCCTGAGGAGGCCAAAGAGGGTGTGGGACTCTCTGAACCTAGACCTGTAGGCAGTTGTAGGGCACCTGAAGAAGGTGCTAGGAATTGAATCTATCCATCTGCAAGAGCATGAGTGCTCTTAACATAAGTCAGCTATCTCTCAACCTGAAAATTCTAATTTCTAAATTAGAGCAATCATTGAAGACAAATAAATAACAATCTAAAAAAGTAATTCTCTTGGGACTTTGGATCCCAGCACCCACATGGTGGTTAACAACCATCTGTTACTCCAGTTCCAGGGGATCCAACACCTTCTTCCCACCGCTGCAGGCATTGCACAACACAACACAGCTGTACTTACATGCAGGCAAAACAAAACAAGTAAATACAGATTCCCACCCCCAAAAATTCTCAAAGGATGTGTAATGTTTTATTTCAACAAAATATAGAAATTCTATTATTGTTTAGTTTTCAGGAAGTATTTGTAAGGCTTCCTTGATATCCAGAACAACAACAGCAAAAAAAAAATTCTCACTCCTAGAGCTCTGAAAGGTAAAAAAATTGCACATTAAAAAAATTTTCAACCTAAAATGACTTAAGTGTGTAAGTAACTGTCTCAGAGTAACCACTGTGGTATTTGAGTTCAGTGCTGGATTCTTTCTGTGGCCTGCACTAATTTATAAGTACCTTTAATTTTGTGATTTTGAAATTTGAAAAATGTCACTTGATTTATATAAATGTCAGTGTTCTTAGACTGATTCCCTGCAGTTCCTGTGCCCTTCTTGCCTTTCAGTCAGAGTGAAGCATCACTCAATTTAAGACGGTCTGTGAGAAAGTTAATGAAATCTGAGTTTGATTGCTAGTTAAAGCAATTTCTATCTTTCTATCTTTCTATCTTTGAATATGATCTTTAAACCTTATAACCTCTTTTGTAAAAGTGGAATCATTACAGAATTATCATTAATATCTCTGGAGATAATATGTGAAAAGTACCTTGAGGTAGTATTTGTTTTGTTTGTTTTTTGTTTATTTATTTATTTTTTGGTCTTTTTGAGACAGGGTCTCCCTGTAGCCCCAGCTGTCCTGGAACTCACTGTGGAGACCAGGCTGGCCTTGAACTCACAGAGATCCGCCTGCCTCTGCCTCCCGAGTGCTGGGATTAAAGGCGTGCGCCACCATGCTTGGCTTGTTTTTTGTTTATTTTTAGACAGGGTCTCCCTGTAACCCCAGCTGGCCTAGAACTCTCTATGGAGATCAGGCTGGCCTCAGTCTCAGAGATCCACCTGCCTCTGCCTCCTGAGTGCTGGGACTAAAGGTGTGGGCCACTGTGCCCAGTGTTAATATTTTATTTTGATAATTATTATTGTTATGCTTTTGTTACCTCTGTTGTCCTACTAAGGGACTATCTTTTCCAGGCAATTTAAGTTTATTACAGGTGTTAATGTTACGTGTATACTTTTATTTTTATTTCCTCACTAGGTACAAAAGGAAATAGAGTTGAAAGGCGAGTGGTCCTTGCCATCAGAATACAGTGAAGAAGGATTTTATCGTATTCAGTACAGCTTCATTAAAGAAGCAGAGCACCACTGCTTGTTACACAGTCCCATTCCTGTGACCTGCCCTGTGAGATTGCTCCATGGCATGAAGGATGACATCATACCTTGGCATACGTCCCTGCACGTTGCTGACCGTGTGGTCAGCCCAGATGTAGATGTCATCCTCCGGAAACACAGTGATCACAGGATGAAGGAAAAAGCAGACATCCAGCTTCTTGTTTATACTATCGATGACTTGATTGACAAGCTTTCAACTCTGGGTCACTAGAATCACACTTGGGATTGGTACTGCACTAATGTGTCCAGAAGACTGAAAGAAGGATAGCAGATCAAAGACCCTGACACTGTAGGTTTTCCCTTGTGCTTCTGTTTTGTAAATAGCAGGTGAATATTTATTTAATGATGTCTTTGCACAAATAGTACAAATTGTGATAAAAATACTGGCTGCTGTTGGAAAAGTCTTTCCTTCAATCTTTGATATTCTTTCCGTTAAAATAGTACCTATTTTTTTATCCAAGACCTTTCTCATACATATGTTAGCTCTGCTAGCTCTTAATTATGTTCTGGTGTACTTAAAATAAAGCTTGAGTATTTTAGTTTTTGTTTGGTGCCATTATATATGGAAGTTTGTAAAATTACTTCTGATTTTTAAATGCAGTTCACAAAACAGAGGAGGCTGTTTATTGAAATAAATTTTAAATGATTGGCAAAATGTCTGAAGCATACTAAAGTTCCAAAAATGAGGATATCATGCTATATTTGAACTCAGAATTAATGTTTTAGTTTTTGTTGGAGTCAGCTTTTAGAGCATTACAAAAGATTTCTAAATTTTGAGTTATGTCACATTTTGGGGGGATCATTCCAGCTCTGTACAGTTTTTAAATCAAACACAATAGTGGGCATCATAATCTCTTAACACACATTTGTCATTCCACTCCCTTTCTTGTCTCCCCGCCTCTGCACCCCCCCACTGCCCATCCTCTAGGACATGCCTACTCTTCCTTCCCTCCATTAGCTGTCCTGCCCCCTCCCCACTCCCTTACATTCTTTATTCTACTATATCCCTTCTGTGTTCGTGTCCTGTACACACATGTAGCTCTACATTCTGCTTACGAGAAGGAAGCATGAGGCATACTTTCTGCATTTGGTCTGTTTGATTTTATATGATCTCTAGCCCCACACATTGTCCTGCAAATATATACCATATATTTAAATGGTATTCATCTAATGATGCAGTACTTTATATAACGATAAGACTAAAGAGAAGGGCTGGAGAGATGGCTCATCAGTTTAAAGCACTGGCTGTTCTTGCAGAGAACCCAGGTTGGATTCCCAGCACCCACATGGCGGTAAGAACATCCATAACTCCAGTTCCAGGGAATCTGATGCCTTCTGACCTCCACAGGCATTGCACAACATGGGCAACATGCACTTACATACATACAGGCAATACACTCATACATATAAAAATAAAGACTGAAGAGAAAATTTATCTGTATTTTTTTTCCCCACTTGAAGAAACACATTTTGTCAGTGTGTGCTTGTAATAGAAATTGCCAAGTGATTACCACTTAAGTTAGAGGGCTTTCTGCAGTAGATTCAGCCTGACATGCCAGTACAAGCATGTTTTTTAGTAACTAATACAATGCTAGTATTTATAGTAAGCCCTGATAGTGAATTTTGGTGTTTTTTTTTTTAAATTAATTTTGACTATTTAGCCTACATTGGTTATGCCTGTCAGAGCAGTGATAGCATGACTCAAAATGAGCATGTGTCAAAGATTTAACCCATTAATGAGAGTCACCAGAGAGTAAACCTGGTTTAAAGTACAGTTTAGAAAACGGTATTAATAGCCATTGAAGAAAAAAGCCTGGAATTAAAATTGGTGTGCAGGAAAGTGTAACAGATGGTTGACTGCTTATCCTGAGAGACATGCCTTTGGCTCTCTGGGAACTTGGATTTCAAGAGCTCCTACTAGTCCCAGAACTGATCGTAGTAGGTCATTGTGCTTCCTTAAACTGTGGGAACACTTTATGGTTTGTGCTAAATACCAGCTTTCCTCCTGGGTGTCCAGAGTTTAGTATATGTGGGGCAGAGACTACCTCTGTGACTAGCCCACAGTAAAAATCCTTGGCATTGATTTTAACAAGCTTCCCTGGTGGATAGAGTATCACATGAGCTGTTAAAACTCATTCTTGGGAACCCAGTTAACTGCCTGTGTGGCTCCAGTGTAGATTCTTGGAAGGTTTACCATAGTCTCCCTGGACTTCACCCCATGCACCTTTTTTCTTTACTAACTTCAGTTTGTATCTGTAGGCTATAATATATCAATAGTGAGTAGAACTCTATGTGAGGCCTGTGCATCCTAGCAAGTCCTTGAACCTGGAGTAGTGGTCTAAGGAGCCTTTGATAGACATATAATTAAGTAATCCATGGTTATTCCCTTACTCCAGAGAAAAATCACAAATCAAAAACTTATGAATCGTGTGGATTATTTGTCCTGGTGCTAAAATGGGACTATTTCCCTAGGTCTTTTGACTAGGCATTGCTAGGCACGAAGGTTATAGGAAAACAAAGAGGGTGTTCCTTTCTATTAGAATTTTTTGGGGTTAAACATAAAATGTAATATGGTAAGAGTCTCATAGTGTGTGTCAATGCAGTGTAGCAATTAAGGGTAGCAACTCAAGCCTAGGGTTGAATCCTTGTTCGCCATTTGCTAGCTCTGAAACAGCAGTTTCCTCTTCGGCAAAGTGCCATAAACCTGTACAATAGATTTAAGTGCTGAAGAAGACTCACAGGCAGCCCTGCCTTTCGGCCACTGTTGCATGGAGCACAGTCCAGTGAGGAATGGATGGTCACCAGTCTGTAATACTATAGGAAGGAAAGAGGAAACAAGGGATAGATGGAACTTCCAAAGCCAAACTAGATTTCCTAAGGGAAAGATAGCCCAAATAAGAATGGTATTTTTGTCATGTTTATTCAAATGTTCAGTGGCCTACCCCCCAAAATTCAGAAAGATAAGAAAGCCTTTTGAAATATGGTTTGGCAGGAGTTGATATTACACATTTCAAATGATAATACATTTATTAGATTGAGTGTATTGTAGTGCACTGTTGATTGCAGCAGGACGCTTTACACCAAAGCTCTTTGTTCCTGAAACTACTCTGCTATGTATTCGGAGGTATGTAAAATGCATGAGCAGCCAGCAGCTGTGTGTTGGAATTCAAAATTTGAACATGGTTTTTAAAGTGACATGAATCGTCTAAACAACTGAGCATGTGCAGTGAAAAGGGATAAGGCAAATCACCATGAAAAGAAAACCAACTGGAGCTGTAGAATATATTTTGCTTTTGCTCTGCCTCTTGAGCTTCATAACTTTTCCAGATACAAATTTAAACAGTATGTGAATCTCTAAGGAGCCAATGGCAAAGTCTGTGGAGAAGAAAAGAGCTCTGAGCAACACTGAGCTTTATGAGGCATGGAGCTGGAGAGCTAGGAACATGACCATGTTACCATTCCCAGCACAGATCCTAAAGTGATGATGCCAAATGTTCATTAAATATAGAGGAATAAAACTTAACTCATTTTCTAGAGGGAACGAGAGTGTGTGAAAGTTAAATACAGTCATCCATTGATATTGAGGAGGATTGGTTCCAGCATCTGAGGATACCACAGTCAAAAGATGCTCAAGTTCCTTATGTAAAATGGGGTAGTACTTGCATATAGCTAATGCACACCATCTAGTATGCTTTAAGTTATTTCTAGACCACTTGTAATACCCAGTACAATAGAATGGCAATATAATCAGTTGTTACACCATATTTCTTGAAAGATAATGACAAAAAATTTGTACATATATACACACGCATATTTTAAGATTTTATTTTTATTATTTTATGTGTATGAGTGTATTGTCTGCAAGCATGTAAGTGCACCTGTGTTGTGCAATGCCCACAGAGGTTAGAAGAGGGCATCAGATCCCCTAGAACTGGAGTTACCGATGATCATTACCCACCATGTGGGTGCTGGGTCCCGTGCAAGAGCAGCTAGTGCTCTTAACTGCTGAGGCATTTCTCCAGCCTCCCACCCCCTTCTTTTTTAAAAGACAGGATCTTACTATGTTGCTCTGGGTGGCTTGGAACACAGTACGTTGACCAGGCTGGCCTGGAACACAGAGATACATTTGCCTGCCCCAATGCTGGGATTAAATGTGTACCACCATGACAAACACATGTTATTTTTCTTCATTTTTAAAATGTGGCCCAAGTCTGGCCTGGAATTCTTTCTGTAGCCAAAGTTAGTGTCAAACTCATGATCCTCCTGCCTCAACCATCTTATCCTGGAATTACAAGCATGCACTGTACCACTATTGCCAGACTCCAGACAATTATTTTTCAAGTATTTTTGGGTGGATCCTCAATGTGGAACATTTGGATATGGAGAGCCAACTATCTGTTTTGAAAATCCCTTTTTAAAAAAGAATATTTCAAAATGCATGTGTATTTGGGTGCATGCATGAATTCATGTGTGCCATGTGCATGCAAAGCCTGTGGAGGACAGAAGAGGGTATCAGATTCCTCCGGAACTGGTGTTATAGACAGTTGCTTAGACATCATGTGGCTGCTGAGAACTGAACCCCAGTCCTCTGCAAGAAAGAGCTCCCAACCACAAAGCCATTTCTCCAGACCCTGAAGACCCTTTAAAAATGATTTGGGGTTTATTTATTTATTTTATGTGCATGAGTGTTATGCCTGTGTATATGTAAGTGCACCCATGCTCGCAGAGGACAGAAGAGGGCATGGGGTCCTCTGCAAGAGCAGCCAGTGCTCTTAACTGCTGAGCCATCTCTGCAGCCCTTGAAGACCCTTATGCCCTTTGTTAGTTAATTGCACCCCTGGTGTCCAAGGCCAAAAAGGGGCATGGGGTTCTCTGCCAGACCAGCCATGGCTCTTTACCGCCGAGCCCTCCTCGCAGCCCTTGAAGACCCTTTTAAAATCTTTTTTTTTTTTGTCTTTTTGAAACAGGGTCTCCCTGTAGCCCCAGCTGTCCTGGAACTCACTATGTAGACCAGGCTGGACTTGAACTCACAGAGATCCGCCTGCCTCTGCCTCCCAAGTGCTGGGACTACAGGCGTGCGCCACCACGCCCAGCTTGAAGACCCTTTTAAAACACAAATCTAAATAAACTTTTTAGCATAGGAACAATCATGTAGGGTGAATAAGTTGGTTTATGAAAAAATATAAATGAAAATATGCAGAAAAATATAAATGAAAATATCTAGAAAAATTCAGGTAATCTTAAGCCACGTGTGTATTTGGGGGAAGATTTTCTTTCTCATTTGATCTTGTTTTCCCTGGATTTTCAGGGTTTTACTGATAGCTTAAGTTTCTTCAGCCAACTAAAGAAGTTTTATTTGGTCTTGACTCATGGCTGCCTTCAGTAGCACAAGCTCTGTGGAGCTCTTGATTCAGCCCCATCCCTTTTTCCAAGAAGTTGGTTGCTGGTCTTCCATCTTGACAGCACCATAGCTGGGCCTTTTTTGATAGCGTTTACTACTTTAAACTCAGCTCAATGCCAGCCTTCTTTCAAAGCACTACTGAATTTAACTTATTTCAACATCATTTATCCTCAGACTTCCCTGACAAGCTGTCTGAATTCCTCTGTGGCCTCTGTCCAGCTTGCCCGGCTTAGAGTGTTCATTTTCTTCTAGTTCTGGCCTTGGCAGCCTTCAACATCACCCACATTTATGGTTTTATTAACTGCATGCAGATGACTCAAGTACATTTCTACAGTCTAGATACTTCTCTTGAGCGCCAGACTCATAAAACAATAGCCTAATGAACTCTCAGATGCGGCAAGTCCAAATCCTATTATCTCTCCCCTTTGTATACCACCCCACCTACGAGTCCTTTTGCAGTAAGTAGCACCATTATTAATTCTGTCACACGAGCCAAACTCATGAGTCACTCTGATAGTCTTTTTTCCTTTACCCAGCTAAGATCTGATGGTTTTCTTTCCCACAAATAACCTCAAACTCTTGTGTGATAAGTCAATACAAGGCTGGTAAGTGTTTCAAGAGCTGGTTTGCCACTGTTGTCACATGGTACAAGCATTCCCTTCATAGCCAGTTTTAAACTGCCACTGCGACATCTCTGAAAGCAAAGCTGGGAAAAAGAGTGTAGGACCACACAGTTCCATAGTGGTTGCCTCCTATGAGACAGAAACACAAATATTCTCAACTGTCATCGGAAAATGTAACGAAAAAAAGAGTAATTCGTTTTGAGTATTTAATCTTTGTAATATAATTATTTTTTTACTTTGATTGTTAATAACACTAGATTTTACTAACTGGCCCTCAAAATTCCTGAAAATTTAAGCATGGAAACCTACAAGCATATCACTTTATTACCTGGAGCCTGCCTGATATTCCAGCTCAGGTTTTCTGTGCATTCCTTTTAGCTCTGTGCTTTGATGATTCTAAGAGATTTTTCACCTTTTAAAATCAGCTACCTCTACCAGCAGAAATCCATAGCTCTCCCACCTCACCCACCCATCTGACAAACAACTATCATTCAATACTTAAAATCATTTCACTTAGAAACCATTTCTCTAATTCCCTAATCACTTCCTTTAGATATACCATGACATCTGATTGGCATTTACTGTTGACAAGATTAATTTTGGTACTAGACCAAGTTACCATGTCTCATTTGTTTTTGTATCTCACATACACAGGCCTTAAAAAAAAAAAGTTGTTGAAGCTTAGTGTGGTGCTGCATGCCTGTGATCCCAACACTAGGGAAGTTGAGGGAGGAGGATTAAAAGTTGGAGACCATATTTTTTAAAAAAATGTATTGAAGCAAATTGCTGTAATGCTAATGGCTAGTATGTTTTCAGCAATTGCAAGGCTGAACTAACTTCCTTTGTTAGTTTCTGGACAGTTCTGACATATCCTCCTGTGGCTCTTCTTTGAATGGGATCCTTTCTAGAACCATGAGCTCAATCATTCCTTCAAAGTACACCAGGTATTCTGTGGTAATGGGAAGAAATCAATGGGCACAAAAGTTCTAAAAAAGAGGAGGGAGAAGAACATACATCTTAGAATTCGATCTAGCAATGGAGAACGAAGCATGCTTTCTATATGAGCTTCCCCCTGGGATGCCAAGTTGGAACTGCCATGGCTGCTGCCACCCATGATGCCAACTTGTGACTCCCCTAATTCTGCAGAGGGTCTTGCTCTCAACCCTCCTCCTAAGCTGCAGATCTCTGAGACACTTCTATGTCTTGAGGACTTCAGTTGAACTTCCATGCCACACCTGGACCTGATTCGTTAAGCTTCATTTGTCTCCTAAGACTTCTGTTCTACTACAAGGCTTCTGTTCTCTCACAGCCTCTGCTTTTCAGAGTTTTCTCCCTGACTCTCACCTACTGATCACTAAGTTTTCTCAGGCAAACCTGTTATGTATCTCCTAAGTAAGTCTGTTTTCATTATTCCAGGCCCCAATCAGCAGTAGATTTTTCTTACTACATGTGTTGAGAGTCTTTTCTTGCATGGCTCTAATCAATTCATCACAGGAACATGATCATTATCCCTTTAGAACTGCTTTAATGTCTTGAACCAATTCATCAGTCCACTGTAGAGCCAGGATTACATTTTTCCAGCCCAGCATTTGACACAAGTTAAGAACTCAGTAGATATTTGTTGAATGGAGGCATGAACCAAAGAACAAACATTTGGGTGTTTTCTTCATGGAAGTACCCAGGAACACAGACAACACAGTGAAAGGTCATCTTTACCTTCAAACGCCTAATACTCCAAGGGAACAAACTGCCTAGCCCAGCCCTTTAGCTGTTATATTTTCAGGTCAGCTAAAACCAGATGGTTTTCCCTAAGGTGTTGTCTGTGCATGGCAGTATTCAGTTACCACTGCCAGTCTGTTGGGGAGTACCAGCATAGTCCTTAATTACAATCTACCAAAACCTCAGGACACTGACTTTTAATTATAAAATTTAATACGTGTGTTTTAGTTCAAATAACATTAAAAAAGATATAGCCTTTAACAGAGCTAAACCAAACTACAGATATTTTCCACAAGATGGATATATCTTGGTGGAGCTTGCTTGACAGTTTAAGAAGTAAATGATTGCAGGTCCCAGTTTCTCCCACCTCCACCCCATCCTGTCCTGTAGCAATTGTCACTTCTGTGCCAGGTTAAAGTGATTTGGTTATTCTTAACAGATGGGCATTTAGCAGAATGGACCCTCCCACAGGCCTTGATCCCTTCATGCAGCTGTGTAGGGCCAGAGGCAGGGAAAGAATTGTGCCTCCAAGAAACACTCTCCCAGCGGGAGACAGGCAGGTTGCCAGACAAGTTGAAGGCTGGCTTTGGAGGGCTCTTAGCAACAGCCCTGGTTTGAACCTCCTTAGCCATGAGATAATCAAATCAGAGTGCCTTGCATCCAGGCTCCATCAACAGAGGATGGTTCAGGCATTCTTTTTCCCAGCTTTAATTACCTGCTCTGGGAATCCTGTGCTTTTTGCCTTTGCAAAATGCTGTTGAAAAGGGGAACAAGCCATCACCACCCACCCCCCTGGCTGCCTGGGGGTTCAGGCTCGCGTGTGAGTCTGTGCACATCATCTCTTCTACTTGATAGGCGGGATTGAGGGGGGTGTTCCAGCCCCCTGGGCCGGCCGGGCTTTATTCTAGAGTTAATGGCGTGTGGCTGCAGCCACAGTTTGTAGGTGAAACCCCATTGGCTTCATTGGCTCCTTGATTTAAACCACGCCCGGCTTTCTGCCGGCTTTGCTGTTGCTGCTACTGCTGCTGCTGCTGCTGCTGGGCTCGGTCTCCCAGACACATCCCAGCCCAGCTTGCAGGAAGCCCGGGCTCCTGCTGCTGCTGCTATTGTGTGGATGCCGCGCGTGTTCACTCTTTTCCAGGGATGGCTAACAGGGGCCCCAGCTATGGCTTAAGCCGCGAGGTGCAGGAGAAGATCGAGCAGAAGTATGACGCAGACCTGGAGAACAAGCTGGTGGACTGGATCATCCTGCAATGCGCCGAGGACATAGAGCATCCGCTCCCTGGCAGGACCCATTTTCAGAAATGGTTGATGGACGGGACGGTAAGGCAGGCAGTGATCTTGGTTGCTGAGGCGGTGGGCAAGGAAGCTGTCTCTAGCCCTTTCTTGCCACGTGAGGCGGTGAAGGAGCAGCTGTTACCAGGCTCTGGTCTCACAGGGAGGAATGGGAATGCCTTTATTTCTCCAGGGCTGGAAAATGAGGGCTCTTTGCACAATTAGCTAGCCAGCTTAGAGGATTCTCCATCCCATGTGAGCATCACAGTTTCCTTCTGAGTTGTAAGCAAATTTGGGGCCCTTTTTATTTCTCCATTGAGAGTAGAGATAAGTATTGCCCTGTGATCGCCTCAGACTTCTTTGGTGCATCAGCCATTCTGGGGCCATTTCTTCCCCCCAGGGAAACGAGCTGGTTACACAGTGAAACAAAGGAAGGGGCGCAGGCTCGCCACCTTACTATAGGTCTGGGAGGCAGTCGAGCCTCCTTGGAGATGCTCAGGGTTTGTTGGGTGGCTGCGTTCCTATGAGCCCGAAGGGAATCCTTATTTGGCAACTGCTGTTCTGATCAGATGCTTATGTGCTTGGGGGTTCAAGGACCACAGCTCAGCTGATTAAAACAAGCCCATCTTTTCTGACAGGCTGTGATTTCCTGTTATGTAACTGCTATCCCACCAATGTGTTGGGTAGCTCAGGACTTGGGTTCTGTTTCTGAGGAGAAGACCCAGTTCAGTTCTTTTTCATGAGTTAATGAAGGCCAGATCCGATCTGTCTTGTGACAGAGTGCAAATCAGAATCCTTCCTACTTCCTCAGGAGCCTTCAATAGTATCCTCCATTAAAAGTGTGGAATCATCCCCATCAACTGCATCAATGTGCTCAACATGGAGCAAGAAGGAAGGAATGGGGCTCTGGCTGTGGGATTGTGCTCAGGGTCTGGGAATGGGCTCACTGGGGGTCTTTGAGTGGGAATTCCGGAGCCTGGCCACACAGATCTGAACTCCCATCTTCCTGGGGCCTATGACTTGCTCTTGGTGAGCTCTCTCTCTCTCTCTCTCTCTCTCTCTCTCTCTCTCTCTCTGTTGTCTGGAGAAGCCTGGAGGCACATGATTCATTTTTCACTGTGACATTTATTGCAAAGGGAAACACTGATCCTGTGTCCCCACACTCCCTTCAGGTCCTGTGCAAGCTGATAAACAGTTTATATCCACCAGGACAAGAACCCATTCCAAAGATCTCAGAGTCAAAGATGGCTTTTAAGCAGATGGAGCAAATCTCCCAGTTCCTGAAAGCCGCCGAGGTCTATGGAGTCAGGACCACTGACATTTTTCAGACAGTGGATCTTTGGGAAGGTAAACAGTCTTTCTGCCTTTGGGTCTGTTCTCCCCCCGCCCCCGCACCTCCTCTTTGCTCTCTTTGTGAAAAAGAACTCACATAGGGCTTCTCTGTGCTGGGGTTGGGGGTGAGGTGGGAGGTGGGAGGTAGGTGTATCCTCAGGTACCATCTCAGGGGCAACATTGGCCTTGCGGTTTGTGATACTCTGTGGAAAGGGGTTCTATCCTCTAGGGAAGACACACTCCAAGGATATAGCAAAGACCTCAACTAACTAGTGCTAGTGTGTAAACAAGCATCCACAGAGAGGCAGTGAACTGGTAACAGGGATGTCTTTTCCTCCAGTTCCCGTTCTGTAACAAATCACAGCTAGTGGAAGTGAAGGGAGGCCGGGTAAGTGACTGTGCCTCTGATTCACCAGCAGCAGCCTGGGCTTACAGACAAAGCCATCTGGTGCTCTTCTGTCATTCAGTCTGAGGAAGAAATAGCACTCCATCCTTTTGTTAAACAATTATCTGGGAGCTTGGTGACTGTACCCTTCAAATGAGTATTCTGTTCAGAGAGAATACCAAATGATCTTTTCATTCACATTAGTGAATTGACTTACAAAGTTACATAAATCAAATCTCATTTCTGAACATATTTAGCAATCCACCACTATTGGAGAAAATAATGTGGAATGAAGACACTGCTGGAGAATTTTAAGGACCAATAGTCACAGGGCCTCATGTCCCTTTAAGTAAAACTGTGCAGGCTGGTCCATACACGCACATCCTTTCTCAACTAGGTCTGCTGGAGGCACCAGGGTCCAACTGTCTAACTGTCAGATTGACTGGCATGTTCATTGTCACTGGTTGTCATCACGGTGTCACCAATAGAATCCCCTGGGTGGTAACCCAAATGACTCTGCTGACAGGGAGAGTGGGAAAACACTATTTTGGTCACTAGGTGTGGAATTCTAAGGGTGAAATCAATTTCTAGCAGAGGGCCCCCTACCCAGCAATTTATAAAGAAATTTTCATCTTCACAAGGATCTTAAGCCTCCATTCATACAGAGCTGCCATTTCATGTTTCCCCCATAGGTGAACAGTTAAAGCCCCAAGAGGCCAAGGGGTTCACCTTGTATTTTGCTACTACTTGGAAACTCAGATATCTGAAATGCAGACCAGACCCCAGGACACCTGCCTCCAAATTTCTATGGAATGTCCTAGTCGAGGCTTGATTCCTAAATCAAAACTATGATGATTGTCCCCAGCTAAGATTTATTTTTTGAAACAAGATCTTGGAAGCTAAGCAGAGTTGGGCCTGGTTAGTACTGGGATGGGAGATATGTACTGCTCACTGATAGTCTCTTATACACTGGGAGCACAAGGAGAAGTGCTTTTCTGGATGATGCCACATCAGTCTTCTAACTAAACTATGAAGTAAGTGATATCACTCCCCATTTTATAGATGCTGTCACCTGCCTGTCCCTGGTTATGTATGTCCATCAGAGAGTTCTTAGTTTGCAGACCCAGGACTGTATCCTAGGCCTTCTGTTGTCAAAGCACAGGGCCTTCCTGAAGTGGCCTGGCAATTCTTTGTCCAGGGGACTTGGAACGTCCTTCACACACACCTCAAGAATCTTGTTGAGTCATAACAGTGACTGGCTGGTGATGCCAGGGAGAGGGAGGAGGACGGAGGAAGATGAATCAAAGCTGTGTGGGACCAAAAGATAGAGTGTTAGAGCAAATGAGAGGAACCCTGGTGAGTGCCCCAGTGCAGGAAGTATAAGAGGAGGAACATAGATGTGTGGGAAGTCGGGTCCTGAGGGTGCCTTCCCTCTACATTACTAAAGGCTAGCCTCACTTCCTTTCCCCTTTTATCCAAATACCATGGAACAGAGCTTTCTACCTAGAAGATGCTCAAAGCATGAGGGAATGATTCCTGGTGAGCAGAGTAGACTGAGCGCTACACACCTGCCCAAGTCTTTGTACTGGACCTTCCTCAAGAAAGAGGAAAACCAGGAGGCATAAATGTGACTGGGGTAACCTTAGATACAGCTCTGGAATAGAATAACGCTTTTAGAAAAAGAGACAGGCACCAAGGGTTGTCCCTCATCAATTGCAGAAGGTTAGGATTCAAATGAAATGAGGAAAGATCTCAAAGGGTGCTGTGATTTCATGTTGTAGGAACTCTAGGTGGACTATGAAATAGGAGGGGAGTGCAGGAGAGTTGGTAAGGGAAGCAGATGCTCTGCAGTTTCCGAATGACTTCCTAGAAACCCTAAGCAAGGGTAGTTGAGGAATATACGTTACTAGCTGGACAGAGCCTTGATTTTTCTCAGAACCATTGCCTAAAACCCAGGCCAGAACTGGTTATGATACAGTGAGTGGAATGAAGGAGGTAGAAAGGCAGGTTACTTTGATTAGAGAAGTGGGAAGGGTGGCACTGTTCGGGTAGTGTGTGGACTGAGCAAGAAAGGCCCCAGTCCATTCTGCAAAGGCTGGTTGTCATGCACAAATTTGGGGAAGAATGAACCAGAATTAAAGGGCAGGGTTGGCATGTGCCTATTTGTGTAAGGGCGTACACACGTCTGTGTCACATAGCCGTCAGACTAGCCGTGCTTAGTGCAGTCCCACATTCTCCTACACTTCTACTCCTTGATGAGATTGCAATCCTGCCCTCACATTTCAGTTATTCACGTTTATTCCGGATTCCCTGCACCACACCACGGCTGTGGTAGCTGTGCCTGTTATGGGTCCCCCTCCTTTCCTGGACATTGCTCTTCCTGCCCTGCAGGCACTTTATGCTTGGCTGCTCTCAGTACTCCATTTCCTTTGCTTGGCATGCACTTCCTAAGTATGGTTCTGTTTGCCCATGGTTGCCCAGTGACTTTTCAAGCTGCCTCTCTATTGCAGACCAGTAAAGCTGCAGGAGCCCAGGTTTACCAGATGCCCTCTTGTTTAGTCTTCAGTTACTTAGATAGGCGGGCCCCAGATACACCCGTGATCTTTGAACCCTTTTTAGGTGCAATGGTTGGAACAGATTTGGGGGCTGTAAGGATACAAAATTCTTTAAAAAGGAACCCAGGTGACAACTTGATCTCAATGACATTACAAAGTTACTAAAGCCCTCATTGGGGTGACCAGTCACTCTTGTGATGAAGAAGTGAGAGTCTCTGATAGGAATGAAAGGGGACTGGGGAAGGCTTCCTCTCTGAGGAGAGAGGCAAATGGTCTGACAAATTCCTTTGGGATTTGGCATGGATGCGTGTAGAGGGCAGGGGTCGGGGGGCGGCGGGGGGGAGGAGGTCATTCTCAGCTATGACTCAGAGGAGAGTACGCTGCAGGTACAATTTCAGCATCTTTTCTGTAAACAGTAAAGGGGAGAAAGAGAGGAACAAGACAATGAGAGGATGCCTGTGTGTGTATAAGAGAGAGAAAACACAAGATCAGTTAATGTGCTGGTCTAAGATCTGGTCAGGATGACTGCAATGAAAGTATTCTGGAAGGTGTGGTAGAGTAGAGGCCCCTGAATCAGAATTAGACCACTTGGATCCAACCTATGTGCTGTTAATTATCAGTTACCTCCTCCAAGCCTTGATTTCCTCAGGTGTCAAGTGGGGATAATAATACCTATTTCATGCGATTGATATGGAAAACAAATGAGATGATGCCTTTGAAGTGTTATAATAGTGCCTGATGAATTGCAGTACAGTAAGCCTTGTCACTGACCTGACCTGCCTTTTCAAAGACTAATAGAAAATGGGGGAGGGGGAGCTGGAAAGATACACATTATTCTTAAAACAAGATGGGTTTGATTAATGTCCACACTCATAAGCTGACAGGGTCATCTGGACACCCTTTCCCTCCTCAGCCATTCATAGAAAGGGTTCAGCACTGCAGGTTACTTTACTGACCTTTTCACTTATTGGTCTTTGCACTTGTCATCTTTTGCCCATAATATACTGGGCTGCCAATTTCAGACCCAGAATATCCTGGTAGAATGAAAATAGCATGATTTTTTTTTTTTTTTGGAGTAGACACATTATGATCCTTCTTCAGTTGCACCCTAGTTTTGCGATTCTGTTTATGTTGCTCAGCTCCCTGGAGCCTCAGTCTCTGTGTACAGCTTTGGCACTTCCTAGGTTAGGTCTCCAGTGCAATGGTTTCTAGATGCCTAATAAATGGTTTTTCTCTCCCTACACCAAACTCAGCAGCAATGACCTTGTGGGGTTGTTTGTATAATCACTTAGTGTCAAATATAATGCATTCAAGAATGTTATTAAATCAAACAAGACTCAAAGATCAATCAATCCAATTATTCTTCTCAACAGTCTTACTAACAAGAATACTGGTTGTGTGGTGTTTTATTGCTTGTTCCCTTCTGATGACTGGGAGTCAGGGAGATATGCTTTACATGGGAAGTACAGAACCTAGGAAGTTAAGGTGTACTGCCTCAAGAGGTGTTGCTACATGTGCCATTCCTCAACAGCAGAAGCTGAGGACACACTTCAGCCAACGTGCGAAGTATTTTGGGATCCTGCCCTGGGGTGTCACAAACACCTATGGTCCCAGTGGCCTTTCCTACCGCGGCATCCTCGGCTGTGCTTGTGCTAAGGGCTGCTGACAGTGGATTTGGTGGGTCTGTTCTGTAGTAGCAGTTCTCAAACTCCAGCAGGCATGGGAGTCAACGGATGCTTGACAGATTTCTGAGCCACAACCTCAGCATCTCTGAGGCCCAAGAATTTGTAATTTTTCCCAACTTGTAGGTGATGATACATCTGTGGACTTGGGAGCCCCACATTGAGAACAGACTTTCTGTTTCCTCCGGCTAGGGAGGAAGCAACAAAAATTCATCGAATCCATAGAACACGCTTAGCCTATCTTCTGACATTTCTTTCTTGACTGCAGCACTGTTTTCTCAGGGAAATACTAAATGAGTTTTATTCTACTGCTTGCTTTCTCTGTGAGTGTAAGAAGTGCACATATTTTAAAAAATCCAGTCTTTAAGAGTTTATAAAACTGAATTGATACTC